AACGAAGTTATTGTTTGGTTTGAAAATTTGAAAACAAATTCAAATGTCCGGCTGTAGGTGAATGTGCAGATGTGCTTGCTGTTATTTCTTGGCTTCCAGCGGTTCAAGTACGAATGCCGTCAGCGCAAAATATAACTTATATTTTTCGGCTTCAGGGTTTTCTTAATTATGAAAGGGCATCTGGGAAGTGCAGAAGCAACTCAAACGACGAAGAAAATCCATTAAAGTTGAAGATTTGAAGACCCATTTATAAAGCGGCCATAGTTGAGTGTGCAGAGATGCTTGCTCTTATTTGGTGATTGTCATTTATTAAACGGCAAAACAGATTTTGGCACAATTGTTTTTCTTGCAATACAAAAACAGATTTTGGCACAATTGTTTTTCTTGCAATACCACAATACTCCAGCACATTGTTATTGTTCAATAAATTACTATAAGTGGCCATCGGTATTTTTAGGGATAGTAGTTGAGAGTAAGTGGAAGGTTAATTTTCTAGAGCTTCTCAAATATTGCAAATAACGCGATTTTTTGACATTTTGACCATGTTTTTCTCAAAATCTGGAGCTGACGGAAACTTTTTACTTACAGATTCGCAATCAGCACAAAAGGGTCTATCAAAAACAGCTTTAACATTTTCCGCACCAAAATCAGTGTTGCCCTGTGTTATTTAAAGCAAAATATGGAAAAAAGGTTTAAATCGCAAGCCTTAATTAAACAAATTACAATGGTTTACCTAGTTAAGTACGTATTTTCATGTTCACGGCATCTACGAAGTTGAAAGGATTTTAATCTCTTATGCTACATTTGCACCCAATTTGACAATAAACAAGAAAATATGAACACTTCCCCAAATTCAGATCGCTAGATAATAAATACTAAAAAAAGCAATTTCGCTTGAAAGAAGGTAATTGGCAGTTCGAGCGATCCGCTGTCGCGTCACGCTACACGATTTCTCTGTACACCTGACATAGCCTAGTAGGTACTATACTTGAATAACATATTTAGGGGATTCACTTAAACTCGTAAAGTCTTTATGTAAGGCTAGAACGCCCCCTTTGCGAAAAGGTGTAAATAGGTACGCAAAGCGATTGCTTAACAGATCAACCAGGATTTTGTGAAGCAATTTTCGTTACTCAGTATTTCCTATAACATCCCGCCATCTTATCTCTATCACTCTTGGCTAAAAGACAGTTAAAAATGCCGAAAATTTGTTAAAGGATGAAATTCATTCATTTTTTCGCGTATTAATTTTTTAATTTATTTTCATTATTTCATCATACATTTTGGTATAAAAATTTCGGCCCCTCGGCAACACTGAAGTTTACGAGGTCGTTAGCCAATCAAATTCGCCTCGTGAACTTACGAGGGGCTCGTAAATAGAGCTCCATACAAATGTTGACAGTTCTTTCACGAGGCTCGTAAATTTACGAGCTTTACGAGGTGTACGAGGCTTTAACGAGTTTAATTGAAGACCCCTATTTTATTCTTAGCTCTAACGTTTACTTATGAAAGCAAAAACAAAGTAACGATTTAATTTTAAATAAGGTAATATTTGGTAAATGTTTGGCTAAAAATTAAAATACAGCATTGGAGACGCTTTCATATCTCATTTCCCCAACCTCACCCCACATGCATAACTAAACGCCAATAAAAGTCAAGGAACAGCAAAATTTTCTTCAATAATGCTTATGAACGCCTCAAAAGGATGACAAATGGTTTGAGGGTCACTCGAACGTACATAATTCACTTCGCTTTTTCCCTGATGGCAGCAAATTTTCTGGCAATTTCAAGGGATTTAATGTGTCAATGCTGTCAAATGACTCATTTCAGAAAAAGGCAAAAACTTGTCGATGTGGGCTGAATGACAGCACGCAAAAGTTAAAAGTAGCTCTAAATTTAAACTCTCGCCAGCTGTAAAAGTTATAATTATTTTGATGTGCTATGAATACATTAACTGACACTTACACTTGTAGTATCAAATACGGTACTTACGTATATGTAAATTATTAATGGTACATGTATTTCGGTGAATGAAAGAGTGACATAGCTTAAAAAGAACTCATTATGACTAGTAATTGGTAAATGTGTAATTTTGTATGCTGCAACGACGAAAATAGTAATTTTTGCTGAATACAATATACATAAACTGAATTTAATTTTATGAAGCCCGGATATTGCTTGCCTTTGCGCCATCAAATTATATAGGTAATGGTACACTCTAAAAAAAAATTGCTCAGATTTCCTAGCTAAAAGGTTGGTTACTGACTTCCCTTATTACTCGCGCAATTACATGCTTGATTATTCAACGAATAGTTTGTTTAAATTTCGGATATTTTAGAANTTGGTGATACGTGGTTTTGTACTTTAAACGACGATATATGCATTTACATTATACACTTTAGTGCCTTTTGCATGAAAATTTCTTCAGCAGCGGGGCTGAATTGAAACTTGATGAAATGAAAAAGTATAGCTAATATGCATGTGTTTGTTTTTTTTATGTTCGTCTAAGGGCGTAGATGTGCACTTAAAGTTACATTTAGTAGACAGCATGTAAACTTTTGCATGCGATTGTCGCCTGTCTATAAATCTTCTAATGTAAATGCATATTAAGTAAGCGCAGTGAATTAAAGTGAACTGTTGAAGTCAAGTTGAAGTGTTTTGGTTTTTGTATTCTTCATTTTGCCCGTAACTGTACGTGTGCTAGCTTGAGCCAAAGCTTACAGGGCAATTTTGGCTGAGATACTTAGTTACAAGTATTTTCTAAGGCAGTTGAAAGATAGCAGATAATATAGTTTTATATAGTTAGATTTTGTTTATGCAGGCATGAACGCCTTAAAAAAGCTCAGTTGTCAATTTTCATAGTGAAAAGCTCTTTTGGCAGGAAGATGTATGCATATAGATAATTTTTCTCGCAACTGCCGAGTTTCTTCTTTTCTTTATATAATTTATATTTTCTTTTTTTTAATTTAATAGTGATGTGAGTCAATAGTTTTGAATTATTGATCGATACTCCGTACCGATTTAAAATTTATCCAATACTTTTGATGCTCGATACCGAAATATTGAAATATCTAATAATAACGCACAGTAGCAAAAAAAAAAATGGAATTAAAGCAGCTCATGGGAGCCTCGCCTATGGAGGCCTAATGTAGGCACTAATAGAGGTTTTAACGCCGAGTAAACTATATTTGTATTGACAGTTTGCAATGAAAATTCGGAATGGGGTTTTTCTAAAACTTCATATTGTCCCCCTTAAGCCAGAATCATGAATGTGCAAAATTTACCAATTTTGAATTAAAGGGTTGACTTGATTAACCTTTGGCTATTCTATGTTATACCGACAAACTTGGTATTATATGTTTTTTTAGGAAAAGAGCTTTACTTTCTTAAATAAATAATAAAAATTAAATAAACTAAGGGAAAATTGCCAAAATTTACTAAAAGTTCGAGTCCTGATTTCTCTTCTGGTCACTGTATGTATTCCTCGATTCGAATCAAAGGCATTTAGATTAGAATATAATAAATGTTTATGGAAAAAATTACGATCATATACAATATCACTTAAATCTCGTTCATAGGCTTACCATTGTAATGAGCTGTTAAGGCGTCGAAACACCGAATACGGGACGAATACAGGACATTAAAAGGAATACATAACATTTGGCGTCCCGTATAAAATAAATAGATTACCAGAACAATGGGTAAAAAAAGAGAACTGTCCCGAATAATACACCGTAGCTATAAGGGACTTTGTTTACTTAGAAGCCAGCATACTGTCCTTCAGAGATAGACGAAGCAAAATTCTTGCCCATAGGTGCTTAATCAAGCTTAGTAGGGTCTTCTTGATGAACATAAATTAAACTGAACAAATCTCGGATCATTCTTGTTTGCTCATAAATATGACATAGTAATGTAGACGAACAACTTTGCACAAGGTTCGGCGCCCTTGGGGTTAGATAGATGAGTAGGGTTATGTTACGAAGAGAAAATTCTAGGAAAATTAATATGGTTAAGATGCATATGCTATATACAGTAAAGAGAAAAATAATAGAAAC